TATAGGGAATCAAAAAGTTTTTTTTCTTTTGCAGCCACTGCAGCATGTATTTTTTATCTTTTTCTTTTAGGGGGAAAGGCCGGGGAAGGGGTGATGCGCAAAAAATCAAACAATTTAGGGGACAAGCACGTTGCCCACTAATTACCCGATATGAATAATATACTTACATCAAGAGACCAAAATTAATTATATTGTATAGATGGTTTGGAAAGAATGCGGGGTAAAAAAAAAAAAAAAAAATGTGGTAGAGTTGAAAGAGAGTCTATAAAAAATGTACAGAAGATCCCGAAATAACTATTTTACGCGTTTTTGTTCTCGCGTGCAGATAAAAAAAAAATTTTTATAGTTATAATACAAAAAAAAAAAATAATAATAATAACAATAAAATAAAATAAAATATACAACAAAAAAAAAAAAAAAGAAAGATCCAAATAAAATAAAATATATAATAATAAAATAATAATAAAAAAAAAAATAATAAAAAATAAAAACTAAGATCCAACCAACTCACAAGTCACCCAAACACACAACTAAAAAAAGAACGTGCGACTGAGTGATAATGGATTCAGAAACAGGAGAAAAAAAAAAAAAAAAAAAAAAAGATCAAAAACGGACGATGCTTGTTTTTTAACAAGAAAGGAGGAGGAGAAAATCAATGAAAGCTCCAGATGAATAAAAAACAAGGCAGTGAAAGAAGAAAAAAAAAAGCAAAAGAGGCATAACAACGAGGGTTTATAACGGAAATCATCAGGGTCGGAAGTTGGAATATTACATGGAAGGAATGGTAAGATAGGGTTGATTCAAAGAGTTCTATTGGTGTTTAGGGATTGTTGACAAATAGTAAGGAAACGTAAAAGTCGTTGTAAAGCGTGAAAGATTACCCAAATGCCCATAGGATTATCCATTAGAAACAAACAATGACTACCAGTTGCTGCCTGCTTTGGTGCAGCTTTCACGCTTTTTTTGCATGCGCGAACCCTTTGGCTCAAGCTTTCAACTTACCAGCCATATTTGGTAATTGGCCACTCAATAACACCCCGTTTTCGATAAACAAAAGGCCTCGCCCCTTCTTCCGTAATTTATGTATACCGTTGGGAAAAAAAAGCAGTAACAGTTACCGATTGCGGAGTATTGTTACAGTAATACAGGCATTCAAACATGACGCAGCAGCATGCAGTTATGAAGTGGTACATTCATTTAACGGCATAGGAATGACTGTTGATTATCTAGAAACGGATTTAATGAGTATTTTTCTTGTGATTATATGCGTAAGTCTTAAATAGTCAACTCCGTTTATCTCATGATTTATCATAATGATTAAAAAAATTGAGATCGATATATCGATATATAGCATTTAAAAAAAATTTAAATAATAACTATAACAGATAATAATTAATTATGATTCGTCAGATAAGTTCATAATGAAACTTTTATCCTAACAGCAAAGTGATAACAAATGAAGTGTGATAATGCATGCGCAAAAGAGAGCTTCATTGAAGCTGCTATTTCTTTTTTTGGCTTAATGATAACGAAGGCGTGCAGGAAGCTTGCTTACTGGCTATGAATAAAGAAGATATTATAGAAACTTTCTAAAGAGACTTTCCAAAAGACCTTCCTTATAAAAAGATTTTCACGATCAATTTCTCAAATTTCTCAAATGTCTCAAATGTCTCAAATGTCTCTAATTTCTCAAATTTCACAATAAGCTTAACAAAGTACAATAAGGTGAGACTTTGTGCGCGAGGTAAGATAACTTACGAGAAGAAACAACTTTGAGACAATTTATGAGATGAATGAATGAAAATTTGGAGAATCATTTATTTCCAAGTTTGTTATTTCATTAAATTAATTCATTCATTTTCAATAAAGTCAAATATCTTTTAAGGATTTAAATCTTGCTTGAGTTGCTCGAGATGAAAACCATGCGTGCATTTTACTATAACGGTCTTTGCTTTGAAAACGGTATGTTTATGATCGTTTATGATCGTTTATGATCGTTTATTATCGTTACGGTCAACTGGTTCGATCGACCAACATTAGTCATGCTTTTTTAAGGGTCCAACAAAAAAAAATTATCCGTGCAAAGATCCAAATCCAAATTCTATAAATTCTAAAGCAACTAAAGAAAGCATGGAAATAATAAACAAGCGATCATTGGTAAACAAACATACTATCATCCCTGCAGGAAACTACAATTGTCAAATGCGTGTTTCATCTTTTCTATATTGTATCATAAGACGTTTTTAGAGTAACGGAGCAATTGTTAAGAGTACCGTAATTATTCGTTCGTAACATTTCTGTCTATAAATGTCCATAAACGGATATAAATTATAAACGGTTGGTGACAATATTATCATTATATTACAGTAAATGAATTTAATTAACATTCCATTCAACAATGACTAATAAATCTATTTAACAGTTAACGATAGTGATCTAATTAATTTTAAATAATCTTAAAAGTCTCGATAAATATTTCCATAATAATAAAAGACTTACATCATCATCTTCAGTAGCGCGTTTCTATTATCTATTTACATACAGTAATACAGTAAGTAAGTAAGTATTACAGAATTAATATTCATCTAATATCTAACGCTAACGCTAATACGTACTGTAGTAATCTGTAATCTGTAATCTGTAATCTTAATAATCTAATATATATATATAATATAACTAATATTCATTCATGGGAAACAATTAATTTCCTCGTGTTTTTGAGAAATCTGTTTGTGGTTGGTAGTTTACCTTTGATCTTCCATAAATATATATTTCTAGACGATAAATAATACCGATTAATCAAGAGATCTCTCTCCGTTAAATTTAATTTCACCCCTTCACGTCATCCGCATAAAAATAAAGTATTCGCAGTCAAGATCCCCTACTAAATTTGGTAATTCTAACAAATTAAATGCATTTCAATCGTCGTAATACAAATTCTTCTCATGAGTTTAAAAAAACAAAAAATGCGCGGGAATTTTTTTATATTGCGTTTCTGTTTATCAAACATCTGGCTCTATTTATTACAAACTACTATAATATTTGTCTTTCATAATGTTTATCTTTAGTATAATTTCATTTATTTTCGTAATCAAAATTACTCTTTACTATATCAAGCCTTTTTGTTATTACAACTTGTGTGAGGCGTTGTAAAATTTACTTTTACCGGTATCATCCCTCGAGAAGTACTCGTGCTTTAATATCTTTAGAAATCTTGTTTTTTAAAATTTTATAGTAATTTAGTAATATTGTATAGTACAGTAGCAATGTCGGGAATTCTATAAATTTTTTTTACTGTTTGACATGATCCCTAATTTTATTACTCGATCCTTTCCGGTTCTTATCAATGCTTGATAAAAATCATGTTAATGTCTCACGATAATTAATGTTTAACCAATCTAATACTAGTCAATCGTTAGCTATGAAATTTCCAATATTCAAACTTTACTTTACTTAAAGTTTAACTTATATTTAGCACATATTTTTAAATAACAAAATTTTGTTACATTTTTTATTATGTACTGTACGTACGTACGTACGTTATCTGTTATGTACAGTACCTAAATGTATGTATGTACTGTATATGCGTACCAATCTTTATCAAGATTTTTATCAAGATTTAGTATCTATTGTTACAAATCAATTCTCGTTATAATGAACTTGAATATCGATATAGAAAAACTTTAAATTTATATACTTTAACGGTAAGCATATATACAAAACATATTATATTTATCGACCGAAAATTAGCAAGTCATATCCGGTGTTTAGAATTCTGGTGCATCGTCCAGAATTCTAAATACTGGTAATATCTGAGATTCTTAATGGCTGTGCAGTGTACCGATAATTTATGACTATGGTTTTTTATTACAAGATTTAAAATATTGTAGTTACATATTTCTGTATTTACATGTTTCTTTACAAGTTTTTATTTAATTGTACAGGAAATGCTAACGCTAATATTTATTATATTCTTCAATTTCAATTATATTAATTATATATCGATATATAATTTATATATAATTAACTATATATCATGTTTTTATATTGCCTACCTTACACTTACTTATACATAGTTATGTATACTACAGTATATACTATGTATACTACGTTCCAAGTTGTAAAGGTAAAATGACGAGTCTGAAAACACATACCGGTAATTAAATATCTTAAATACGTAAACTATATCGATATAAATGCGTCGTAAAATTAAATAAAGTATTTACGTAAATATATTTACATGCGTTATTTTTTTGTTATGCTATTATATAGTACAGTACAGTATATGGTTAAAAGCGCGTCTAAACTTTTTAGTAATGTAACCTTTAAATTTTCCTTAATTTTGGTAGAATCTGTTAATTCCGGTAAAAATAATCGGAAATTTGATACGCATATATGCATTTACTACAATAATGATGCGTCTTTCAAATATATATATATATATATACCTTATCGTTATGAAAATCTGGAAATTTTGAAGATCTCTGTTGAGATTTGACAACAGCCTAAACAATAATAATTCTCTAAATACAAGTCACTCTTGTTTCTGGTATGAATTTACTAATAGAACCGATCATTTCGCTATAACGAGTGTGACTTATAGCTGCTACAGCAAATTCAACGAAGCAGTAATCCTCTTCTCTGCACAAGATAATATGTTAGAATGTTCCTAAATTTATCTCGCATTCCAGTAATTGGTTTCAACCTAATAAAAGCAAATTGTTTACTATATAATATACTATATTTTTAGTAAAACTAGTAAAGAACCTTATTACCCGTTGTAACAAAATCGACTTAAAATTTATAAATAATAAAAAAAAAAATTATATTTAAAAATACCCAATATTACACATTTTATATAAATGACTTTAAATTTGGTCGTCATTTATCCCTTAAATGTTTTATTTATACGCAATTACAAAACTCACCCCTATTCTTTTACCTCTTCAATAATTATAATAAATTATATTAGTAACTTTGAATAGTCATGTGTGTGAATATTACGATTTTTCTGGCCACCCTTTCTCTCCGTTTTCTCCTTCCTCCAGCGAATCCTGTTGGTTAACTACACGTAATACTGCCTTTTTGCTTGATTCTTGCATTTCTCCCGCAATAATCAATTCATCTAAAACATAGTATGCCTAAAATATCAAATTTCAATAATTTATAAGTGATTTTAATAAGTAATTATGCGTATATATATTATTATGAAATAAATGAAAGAATAGATACCTTTTGAAAATTAAAGATTAGATCCAATTCACAAACCTAAAAGTAAAAAAAAATTACTTAACAAGAATGATTTAAAAAATTTTTTTTTAATTATGTACAAAATGAAAAAATGGTTCGTTTACATTGCCAAAATATCGATCTAAAATTTCAACATATCGATGAATAATTTCAAGCGTTATAAGTTCATTATCTGAAGCTGAAATTCCTGTGACAAAAAATAAACTTGCATATCTATTATAATAGAAAATTTCATTTAATTGATTATTATTAATGCAAAGTTGAGATACTCTAATGAATAATAACTTTGATCCAGCTTTGAATTATGAATAAAATAATACCTTCGATATACAACCTTCTCATCTA